TTTTTCTTTCTTTCCATTCCTCCCTCCATTTTCTTTTTTCTTTCTTTCTCTTTCTTTCTTTCCTTCCATTCCTCCCTCCCTCCCTTTTCTTTCTTTCTTTTTCTTTTTCCTCCCACCCTCCCTTTTCTTTCTTTCTTTCTTTTTCTTTCTTTCTCTTTTTCCTTCCATTCCTCCCTCCCTTTTCTTTCTTTGTTTTTTTCTTTTTCTTTCTTTCCATTCCTCCCTCCCCTTTCTTTCTTTCTTTCTTTCTTTCTTTGAATCATTACAACCAGGCATGGGAGCGTGTAGCGGTTAATTCATGCGAGCAATCTATTTAACACAGATTAAAAAGTTGCCCTTTAAATGGGATTTTAAACAGAGGCTTAAGCTACATGAAGCTATGCTTCCATCCCGAGTGGAATTCCTCAGGACGGAAGGATTGGGTGGGCGGGGCCTGTCCTCCACTGCCAGCCTTTCCCAGGGGCCAAAAAGCCTCCAAGCTCAGTTTAGCCCGCAGGACAGGACCAGCGGCGGGGGCGGCAAAGGCAGCGTCCAGGCCCAAGGTGGCTTAAATCCCGGGATGTGCCTGCCTGGGCGAGAGCGGGTGGCCCGGCTGCCCCGCCGGTCTCATGCTTTCCAGCCGCCTTCAAGCCCCTGTGCAGGTGGCTGAGCTGAAGCGCCACCGCCGACCGCGCTCGCTTCGGACGTCCGTTGGAGCCAAGGCTGATCTGCCACCCAGAAGAACCCATCTCTCTCCTCCTTAAGCGCCTCGGCCTTTCCCCGGCATGGAGGACGGGCGAGCAGCGTCTGGGTTGAACCCGGAGCCGGCTGCTTCGCCACCCAACACTCTTCATGCACGTGCCGCTTCAGGACGTGCTCCTGAGCATGGAGGACACCAGTGGAAGTGGATGGTCTTAGGTGACACCTGTGAAAGGCGACCCCCAAAGGGGTAGCGACCCACAGGTTGAGAACCGCTGCACTAAATCAAGGGGCCTCAAACTACAGCGCGCCATAGCGAAGCTGAGCCTCTGATGAGCCAGATTCACTTATTTTAGTTGCCCTCCAAATTCATCTGGAAGGCATGAGATTGGGGAAGAAGACCTTTTATTATTGTACACAGTCCTATACGTTTTTGTATTAGATCAGGAGTTCTCAACCTGTGGGTCGCGACCCATTTTTGGGTCGAACAACCGTTTCACAGAGGTCGCTCAGACCAGCGCAACTCTGAAGTTTAGACTCCACCTCATGTTCGTTGAAATCCCCGCGGATGGGCTCCGGAGTGGCCGCGCAGAGCATCATCGCGGCTCCACACCGTAAAACACATAGGTGCGCGCGCACACCCTGTACAATTAATCTCGGAGACTTCGTAATGGAGGGAAAGTGTTCCTGCAAGGGAGGAAGGGGCTTAGGTCCTGCTCCGGGCTGTAATTGTGCGGGGTGTGTGCACGGCTATGTTTTCCATGCCGCTGCCAGGTA